AAGGAAAGGAAAGGAAAGGAAAGGAAAGGAAAGGAAAGGAAAGGAAAGGAAAGGAAAGGAAAGGAAAGGAAAGGAAAGGAAAGGAAAGGAAAGGACTGAYACATTGAGATGTAAAGATGAAGCAGAAACAAAGTGGGACCCTAAAGCCATGGAGAGGAACTCTACAATATGCCCTACACAGTTCTAGGCAGCACTTCCCTGTTTGTGGCAGCCCAGTCCATGAAAGATCAAGCTCACTCAGCTGTGAAATGTTTGTAGCTTGGTGGCATCTGTCAGATGTGTTCAGGAATAGTGGCTAAACAAGTGGCAAAACTGACTCCACTGCTGAAAAATCAAAATTATCACCAGAATTATTTGAAAAGCAGAGAAAAAAAAAAATGCAAGAAGCCTGCTCTGGAGGGATTGGGCACTGAGTGGGTAGATTTGTTCTGCAGCAGGTGGTGAAGGGTGMATGTCTGCACTGTGTAAGAGAAAACAGGCACATGTGTGAGGCACATTTTGGGGAGAGAAAGAACATTTTGCTTTGTGTCCAACAGAGTGATGCATGACGAGGTGAGTGACACGGAAAACATCCGGAAGAACCTGGCCATAGAGAGRACCATAGTGGAGGGCTGTGACATATTGCTAGATACCAGCCAGACCTTTATTCGCCAAGGTAAGACATTCTGCTGCCYGTGCAATCATGGAAAAACTGCACTCCAGGCAGCAGGGTCACCTTGCCATCGTCACACAGGCCACTGCACTGGGCACTGACAGTGCTCCCTGCAGGGTCAGTCACAAAATGCTCTGAAAACAGGAAATTTGGGCTGTGGTTGGAGCTCAGTTCCGTGCTGTTCTCTTCAGGAACCATGAAAATCAGCAGCACATGAGTGGCAAATCCCCCATGGGACAGTGATGTACATTCTGCCTGGACTGTGGTCCCAAAGGGATGGAGCAGGGGAAGAGCAGGATTCTTTTCCTTTCTGTCTATTGATGGCAGTTTTAAAACTCTTTCTGTTGAAAATTAGTTATAACAGAAGTGGAATTTGTTGTTAAGTTGCAAAAAAACTATGCTAGAGTAACTCTTCAGTTTTAAATAAGGGACAGTTTTTGCCAGGAACTGCAGATTGGTTATGATTTTTATTTGGTGTGGTTTACTTTTATTATTAAGGTTTATGCTTATTTTTCTCCCATTTATGTCATTTTTATCTCTTAATGCTAGTTACTGGGTTTGTACACAGTTAACTACAGATCTGTAGTGTAGGATTTTGTCTGTTTTTGCTTCTTTGTGCTGAAAAGCATTAAATATACTCAGGAAAGGTTAGAAATATAATTTAGGTGCAACCCTTCATGAAACCTTTTCCAGATAACTTCAGCAAAACATCTGGTATTTAATGGGTTCATGTCAGAGGTGGTAATTAACAGGCTTTCTATATATTWTATATATATATTGAAATGCATTTTATGCTGTTTCTGTAGTTCTGTGGCCAAATTATGAAATTTTCTGTAATAACTTCCAATATTGTTTTCACATTAGTCACTATAACTTACTTGATTCTTCATTAAATATATGCATTTGCTATCTCTGAGRTGTTTTAAGAGTTATGAATATGGCTTTGAGGAAAAGAAACAAGTTGTTTTACATCCTCAGCCAAAAAGTTACTGCGCTATCCTATTATCCTAGGTTGACTTGTACCATGAGATGTAATTAAATTTTAGAATTTTTTTCAAAATTATTCAAGCATGTAACACAAATATTTGTATATTTATTGGGGTTTCTCTCTTAAGATTGACTGGTAATATTTTATGTGTRTACCCACTGTTTAATCAGTAAAACTGAGAATTTTTTTTCTGTGGGAATCAGTCTGAACAAATTGCTGTTGGAGTGTTAGACCAAGGACAAGCCCTGTAAGTAAATTAAATTCAGATTTATTTCTAGGCATATAGTCTGAAGACAGTGGACAAGAGTGTGTGTTACAGAAGGTTGTAGCAGTTTATCTTGTGGGACATCCACTGCCTGTGATTCTGTGGAAGGGCAGAAATCTGAATAAAGCAAATGAAGTAATGGAGCCCATTTTCCTTTCATGTCTGACAGAGGGGTCATGTTGGTGGTGATGTCCATCTCCTCTAATTTCAATTAGGCTTCCATTTATTGCGTGGATTAATGTGGATGGGTACTGGAAACCTCTTCTTCAGTTTAAAACAGGAGAGAAGTGCCATTATTTTTGTCCAGGCTTTTTCTGTGGATGTTCATTACAACTTTGTCTGTGTTACAGACTTTATCTTTTAAGAAGAGATTAATTCTGTTGAGTTGTATACACATTGAGGGCACAGGAACTCTCCCTGGCAGTGTATTGCAATGCAGATTGTGAATTCTTCAAGTTTCTTAGGGTCTGATTTTCCTTGTCTCTTACTTTGGTACAGTTTTTATAGTCAGGTGCACAAACAAGTGAGGAACATTTTGTTTGTGAGGCTAAAGTACACTCAGGTACTCTCAAATCGATCGACATCCAAACAACTGGGCACGTGGAGCTCCTTTAATGCCTACAAACACTGATGTTTCTGCCATGAGTTTACCTCTGCTTGTAAAGACATCATAGCCACAAAACCATGGAATTGCTGAAGTTGGAAGGGACCAGCTGGAAGAGATTGCTTTCAGCTCTGTCCAGTCAGGATTYGATTGTTTCCAAGGACACTCCACAGCCCCCCTGAACGAGCAACCTCTTCCAGTGTTTGACCCTCTGAACAGTAAAAACAAACAACAGAAAACCAGTAAAAAGCCCCCAGAACCTCCAGACTGAGTTGGTAAATGAGGCAGCTCAATGTAGACTTCTAAATGTTTGGGTTTGTTTATAAACCCAGCATTTTATGTTCCTTGCATTGAACTAAGGCTGAGAGAATGMCTCTTGAAGCACTGAATTACTGAAAGTGCCTAGGCCTGTAGCTGCATAAAAATTCCTGGGATTACACTGCTGTCCAAACTATACTGCTGGTGAATGCTCTAAAATTAGCTTCACTTGCTCTTTGCATCTGTACATTGGCCAGTTGTGACCATTCTTTTCCTTAAGAGGAAATCTGTGCTAGAGCCAATGCCCRGTTTTGTTAACCACTAAAGCCTGATGAGAATGCACAGGATCCTTGCTTGATGTCAGCTGTGCAGTTTGTATAGGAGATGTGCTCCTGCCTGTAAACATGAAAGAGAGAAAATGCAGTCTCTGTTTTCTGCTTTTAAAAAGAGGTTGGCTGTGTTTTACTTTATTAAATGGTCTTTCAGCTCCATACAAGAATATTAACGTTCAGCCCATTATAGCAGAGGAGGTTGTGATAGTCCTGAAAGCATTCTAATGAAAATAAATACAAATAAATAAGCAAATAAAAGTTACCTGTAGGCTTGCATCTGTAAGCATATCATATTTATAGTTAATACTACACTACTAAGCAAAGTGGAGAGAAAATGTATGGATTGAATATAGCTACACTAAATGTATAGATGGAATTTTAGAGTTAAAGGCACACTGGCAATTTTGGCTGGGAGTTTTTTGGAACATGCTAGCCTTGCAATGTGGTTTGAGGGACAGTCAGTGTAACATGGAAATGTCACTGTTCCAACACATGGAAATTATCTCCTCCCCCTCTCTCACAGCCGAGGCAGGTCAGCTGTTTGTCCAGGGAAAATGCACAACAGCCTATAAATATTTATGGGTTTGGGTCAGAATTTAAGTGAACCTGAAATTATACAAATTCTTCTGCAAAATTCTAGAGCATAACTTTACTCCACGGTTCTGTTGGGGTGACCCAAGTCATATTATACATGTTTAGTGTAAATGTGAAATGTCTGTCAGAGAACACTGTTCTCTGGCAAATTTACTGCTGTGTATTTTCCTGTGTCAATAGAAGTTTATATATTAATAACTTAAGGCTAATTAAATATATAGAGAGAGCTAAGTGTAGGAAAAAATGTAGCTCAGTAGAAGCTTTCTCAGTTACTGTAATTTCTTTTTGTTTATTTAAGACTGCAAATGTGAACTTTGAGGAAGATAATTCTTTTGACAACATAAAGTAAGAAYTGCTAATCTAATATTTCAAGGATAATTCTGTTAGGCTGGCACTGTGTCAGGRTGCTGCCACTACTTTGAGCTTTGATGCAGCTGTGCTGGTTTGTATCTGAAAGAGGCAGGTCAGTGCCATCTCGTGCTGCTTGTTCTGCTGCTGAAGCTCCCTTTGCATCATCAGTTTTTTGGTGCTTTTTTGACCATGCCTCTGTCAGGGAGCTAAGTCAGCTGTCTTTTGCTAGCATGAGTTTCCTGCTGGTTTAGCTGTTTTAATACCTGATGCTGGAAAAGCCGTGAGCCAGTGTAAGGGAATAGTGAGGATAGATGTGTGGGAATGAGCTTAGGAGGTCTCTTGGCTGCCCTGTCTGCTAACAGCAAGTTATATGGTAGAAATCATTCTATTTAATATACAAAGGAGTTGCACTTCACCACCAAATTTAACTCCTGTTCCAAATTTGGAGGTGATACACATGGTGGTATCAATCTGGAAAAGTTGGTCAGAGACTGAGATGTGAAACAGCAGAGCTGTCCCCAGTCTGGAGCTCTGCACAGCACAAATTCAGACTTATGTAAGCARGTTCAATTTAGTTCGGGAGTGTTTTACTGGTAACACATTTCAGATGGGCTGTGGAGCACTGACAATTATGCAGTACAGGATGAGAAGRAGAAATTTCCATCCATGCTTCATTTCCATCTCTCTTGCACACAGGCACGCGCACATACACAAACCCTTTTCCTTCAAAACGTTCCCTTTTTTCTCTGTCTCCATGACTTGTAAGTGTGTTTTCTCTTGCAAGTGCAGTGGCTGTCTACAGAGTGGTGTTTGCTGTTCAGCTGCATTTTCTGATCAATGGCCTCCGTGTGTTTCATTGCCCAGCCAGCCCTGAATTGAATCCTGCCATGTACATAAGTATTAGTCTAAACTGTACTGGTTTGAGTCTATTTATGATAAGAAACAAAGGGAATTTGTGCAATAAAAAACTGATTGAGTTGCGCTTAAAAGAGATGCTGATATACATTGGATACAGGAATGAAGAGCTGCATTAAATAACATAATGGCATTCAATGAATTAACAACTTAAGCTCTGTCTGCTAAATATTACTACAATACAGTAAACTTTGCATCTTTATTACCAGGTTCCCTTATCCAAGTCCCCTCAGTTGAGAGGGGAAAGCTTAGYAAAGTTCGCCTGGGCTCGTTGTCTTTGAAGAAAGAAGGAGAAAGACAATGCTTCTTGTTTACAAAACATTTTTTAATTTGTACAAGGAGTTCAGGAGGAAAACTGCACCTTCTCAAGGTATGGACTTTATGATTTATTTTGTTAAATGAAAACACATCTTTGGTGAAATGTTARCATTTTACTGTTTCATGGCTTTATCCTCAGCTTTGGATTAGTGGTTCTAAACAAAATTGGGGTGATGCTCACTATTTAACTGCTTTTTATTGAAAATAATAGAATTCAGCAAATTTCTTTTTCAAGACCCAGTTAATTCTAGTAAACTGGGGATTAGAAACAAGGCATTGATGTATCTACTTGTTTGAAGTAGTGAATAAATTCAGTGTATGTAGCACTGAATTTCAGTCAGTTTTCAGTGCATAAATCAGCCAGTACAACCCCGCAGAATTGCCAAAGAAGATTTTCCAGAGCTCTAATAAAATTAATTTTCAAATTCAATTCTGTTTTCCTGAACAGCATGTTCTCTTAAACTAAAATGTCATCTAAGAACAATCTAGTTATATTTGTTGAGAATCAGGCTTTCATAATGCTAGCTTGAGGGTAAAGGGATGTTGGTAGTTCACAGAGTTGATTATGTTGAATAGAATCTTAATTTGACATATCAAGATGTTATTAATGTTCATGTGCTTTCTCACTTTGCACCTCTTAAATAGTTCAAGTACTTTGCAAAATAAAGAGTCTAACCTTTAAAAACTCCTGTATGTATTTCACTTAAATTCAGAAGATTAAATGCTAGTTAACTTTTTTTGAACTTGTAAACAAGTCTGTATGTGACATAAATTACAGTGTGGTAAAACTGTAAGAAGTTTTGTACATTGTACTATTCATCAGTTGGATTAAGAAAAACATATTTAATCTGTCTGGGTTTTATTTTTTTAAGGAAAAAGTGTGCATCAAGAAATTGATGTATCCTCCTTAAAACTCCAAGTAATGTAAAGTAGAGTAAGGTAGATCAAAGCTTAAAAAGAAACCTGTGAGAAATGGGAACAAATGACAAAATTTRTGTAAAATGTGCTTTGTTTCCACAGACAGGTGGTGTTCTGTCTCTAATAGAGTGCACACTGGTCGAGGAGACAGAAGCCAGTGAYGATGATTGTAAGTTAAATTCAGCTGTCAGTAGTAAGTATAGTTTCTAGTTTCCTAAAATTAGTACCCTTTTTTTTTTTTTTGTTTCTCATAAGAGCAAATAGATGTGTTTTTGTTAAACCAGTGGAATACAGTGCTAAACTGGATCAGTAGGATGGATGTTCAGTAATGGATGTGCTGGCTCGGATGGGGGCTCTTATGTTATATTTGTTCCTGCTGTTGGTATCCTTTATTGGATTTTCAAGAGGGCTGGCTGGAGAAATGTGACAAATTATTTGCTGATTTTGTATAAAAGTTCACCCAGAGCATCTGGGGGGAAAAAAAAAAAAAAGGAGCAGCACATAATTGGCTTTCCGAAACACTCAGGGGYTGAGTAAATTGGAAGAATTAATGGAAAGCTTTTTGTCTCAGGCTTCTCACAAATCTGGACAGTGAGCTTGTTCAAATGGAATAACAAAACATAGTCTTGGGGGCTGATTTTATTGTTATTCCTTTTGGCTTCCATCCTGCATTTTCTCAAGTTTTGCACTTGAATTGTGAAAGTAGTTTCATTAATTTCAGTGATGCTTCTAGAGTGCTGAGGGTGTATTAGCATCCAAGTGTTCAAAGAAACTCTTTAAGAGCAATGTATAGCAAATCCCAGTATTTTTGTACTTGGCATATGTGAACARCAGAATGGAGTTTTGGGTACATAATTGGATTTGCTCTTTATCAGGGAGACATTTTAAAGCAATTGTAATTTTAAATGAAACTGCTGTTTTCTTTGTCTTATACTCTGAAGTTTCACRTTGTGACCTTTTTTCTCCCTCTCTGGCTGTAAAGCAAAAGGCTCTGGGCAGGTGTTTGGACACCTGGATTTCAAGCTGATAGTGGAGCCTTCGGATGCTCCTCCTTTCACTGTTGTCCTTTTAGCCCCATCACGGCAGGAGAAAGCAGCGTGGACCAGTGACATCAGTCAGGTACCTCAGTGCTTTCTTCACCTTGCTTGTGTTGAGACTTGAATTCATTCTGTGTTTCTGAAAACCAGTTAAGAGAGGGATGCTGAATACTTTTGATTTGTGTGTTATGTATGACATGCCCTTAGTGCTGCCTGCTCTCCTCAAAATTCTGTCCTTGCTTCTCACTCACCAGTGAAATGTGTTTCTCAATGACAGAGATAGGGTATAAATTTCAAAATTGCCCACGGGCAAACATAATCCAATGGTAATAATTTTATGTCTAAGGAGAGCCCATTCACAAACATATTTTGATTTAAGTAGGATAATACTGGTTTGTTCATGATTTTCATACAGATCAAAAATCACCTGAGAGTCCTAGAGTGATAATGATATCACATCACATCAATAATGAAGTAAGAAAATGGGATAAACTCTTTTTTTCCAACAAAAGTGAATAATAAMAAATCATTATAAATAGTTGCTGAACATTCTGACAGTGTGCAGGAACTGTCTATGTCGTGAGTTAAGGAAAAGGGTATTTTAAAATTTTTAGATATGAGGGATAAGTTCTTATTTATTTTTATTGCTTTTAGTTAAAACCATAATAGACAAACTCTATCATAATCTATTTGTGGAAAGAAAATGAATGCAACCAAAAAAAAATCTGACCTTCCAGCTAATCAGAGCTAAATCAAGGCTATTTGTGGTTTGTTTTTACACATGAACAAGAACAAGACCTCTCATAGTTTTGAATGCAGGTCCTAATCTCTGTTAATTTAATTTATCCTCTGTTAAAAGAGAGAAATAGTTGATTAGAGAAATATCTCTAATCTGTCTGCGTGGAATGTGATGCATTTTCAAAGCTGCTATCATTGCTGACAACATCTCTAGATGAATCAGCATCATAATGAGTAGAAATTGCTTAAAAATAAGTATTCTCAGTTACTTTGTGCTGGATTAACATTTTTGAAAGCATAAAAATAGGAAAATAAAAATCTCAAAATACAGTATGAGCTGTAGCCTGCTGTCTTACAGACAGGCCTGACTGAAGAATTTTTTACAAAACAGATTTTCAGTGAATAATGTTGTTCCATTACGTGCAAAATTATTGGAATTATTTGCTGGGGCAGAAAGACCATTTAAGAACAGGAATAAGTCCATTCTTAGCTTAAATTATAATAAACTAAAAAGTCGTCTGGTGTGATGATTGGTGCTAAGGGCTTCTTTGAAATATTTCAAATTCAAGAAGGAGAGATGTATTTCTATTAAATGTATTTTCTCACTGGTTTTAGGTAAAAATTTCAGAAAATTACACTGTGAATTATTACAGCTTCACTTTCCAAATAATCTTAGAAACCTGAATTGAAAACCACATATAGCTACGTAGATGATATTTTAAATGTACAGCTGTAGATGTAATCTAAACCTGAAGGGGCCTCTGATTGTCAGGTTTGAGCAATCCAATATCAATCATTGCTCTGCTATGAAATGTTCCAAAGGCAGAAAGCTGCATGTGTTTTTGACGTTAAGATAAATGCATGTGGTAATTTTTGAAACTCCTTTTTACTGTTGATAGGAGATCATCTTTATATGTATGTATGTATGTATGTATGTATGTATGTATGTATGTGTGCATGTTTGTATGTATATATGTGTGTGTATTGTACTTGATGATTAAAAGTAAAGTATTATAAACACAAGAGAGCTGCAGGGCTTGGTAGCAGGTCCTTGTTGCAGACCATGTAAACCTGATCTTCTGTCACAATTGTTGACTTCCATGCACAAGGCTGGTGGTGCTGAGTTATCTGAGAATCCTATAATCCCAGGGTCACTGAGGGTGGAAAATCCCTGCCAGCCCACGGTGTCCCAGCTGTGCCCACCTTGTCCCCATCCCAGAGCTCTCAGTGCCACCTCCAGCCCTTCCCTGGACACCTCCAGGGCTGGGCACTCCAAAGCTCCCTGGGCAGCCCCTGCCAAGGCCTGAGCACCCTTTCCATGGGCAAATTCCTGCTGATGTCCCCCCTGAGCCTGCCCTGGCCCAGCCTGAGGCCGTTCCCTCTCCTCCTGTCCCTGTTCCCTGGAGCAGAGCCCAAATCCCCTCTGGCTGCCCCCTCCTGGCACCAAAATCAGTAAAAATAAGTGTCCCTAACAGCAATACAGCACGAAGAAGCTGCCATTGTTCATTCAGTGCTGGGTGCATGAGGGAACATTGCTCTGAGATACCGTGTGTGCTGAGCACAGAAAGGTTCCTCTTCTTGGGCTGTGTTTTACGTGTACACTCAGGTTTTCCCAGAACAAACATTGATATGGTAACATTTCCCTGAGGTCATTAACACMCATTCCCTCCCATCAGCAGTGTTCTCTGTCCTGGCAGTGTCTTTGGTGGTCCCTGGTGGGCAGTGACCCCACAGTTGTGACTGACTGCCTGCTGAGCTGGTGCTGGTGTGCCTGGTGATGAGAAAGGCTGGCATAGGTGGCCTAACTTGTTAATTTGTGAGGCTTTGAGTCAATGGAGTGTAGCTTCTATTCCTTCCCTGGTTAATGTTTATTGTGCTTTTGATTGTGCCCTTCTATAGCCTAATGATTTTGCTAAATGGTCACTGTATTGACCACCCAGGTGCAAACATTTCATCTGGCTACACTGTCAGGAGTTGTGCAGAGCCACAAGGTCCCCCCTGATCCCATTTTCTCCAGGCTGAGCCCCTCAGCTGCTCCTGGGGCTCCAGACCCTTCCAAACTCTGTTCCCTCCTTTGGGCACATCTGAACTACATAAAAGTGCAATGGAAGTTATCTCCCACTCCCTAACCCAAAACATTTATACAAGAGTTTGCTGGGAGTGCTTGGGCAGCTTCCTCACAGCTTTGTTTCACAAGGAGCACCACCTGAGTTTGTTTTTACAAGTGTGTTTCTGGAAGCTTTTTATATTCCCCTCTGGTCTTTTGCACAGAGTAAAGGTTAAGGTATTACTGTACCCATTGGAGTATAAAGCATTCTGACTGTCTTGTGGTCTTGACTTTTCAAGCTTACACTCATTCAGGAAATACTAGAAGTAATGAATTTTCTTCCCTTTCAACGGAGCTTCAAAGGAAATATCACTTCCAACTCAAAATACTTAATCATGTGGAAAAAAAAGGTTGCTGAACTGAATACCCTGAGCGTCAAAGGCTAGAGAAGCATGTCGACTCTAATTCTTGCACCACTGCTTTTCATTTGTGAAAATACCTTGTCTTAATCAGGCTGTACCCTACAAAAGTGTGCTGTGAGCTTAGAGGGATATGGAAAACATGGGAATCAATCCCCTTTCCCTGTGTTTCGATTTTAACAGTTCTCAATGTTTATTTTCACAGTGCATTGATAATATAAGGTGCAATGGATTAATGACAATAGTGTTTGAAGAAAACTCCAAAGTCACAGTGCCACATATGATCAAGTAAGTGCAACAGTGGACAAAATAGATTTTTGTATTTCTTTGGTAAAAAAAAATTAACAAAACAAAGCATGTGTTTAGAAAATGCAAACTTTTAGTTTATTTGTTTTCTGCCATTTTTGCTGAATGAAACTATTCTATAGATTCTATAAGATTCCTTAAACTATTCTATAAGATTCTATATCCCAAAACATTTATTTTCAAATCTCTTTCTTGGAATTGTCAGGATCACTCAGAGTGGTGAACTTCCAAATCACAGTGTTGGATCACAGCACAGATTTTTCTATTTTTTTCTGTAGTTGGCATTAGTTATGGCCCAGATAAATGATTTTGTTCTCAGTCAGCTTTTCTCAGTCATATCACTCATAATTATATTAAAGATTTTTTTAAAGTGTGATGGTCGACAAGTTCCATTTTCAAAGGTATTATATTAGGCAAAGTTTTTGTTCTCTCTGATATTTCTCTTTAAAAATTATTTTGTGYCATAATTTTAACTGATCACCTCAAAGTAACAACATTATTTAGAAACCTGCTTCCCTCACCTTTGGATTCTCTCAATTATTTATTGCAATAAGTAGTTATTATTTCCAATGAGACATTTTCAGCACGTGATTCAAAATTTTCAATGTAACTTGGATCTTCTACCGACCTCAAWTTACATGAGTTTTACTTTTTAGTATCCAATATAAATACTAGTGAATGAAACAWAGGGATAGACAGAAAACTATTTCCTTTCTCACTGTTATCTGTCACATTTCTTGGTTTATCAAATGCCTCTTTTGTAGTTGTTCCCTCTCTTCTCTTTGTGTTTAGAAATGGGAAAGAGAAAACATTTGGGAACACTGTTAGGGCACATGTCTTTGATCCCTGGAAATAAGGCATTTTATTGTCTTCAGCTTTCAAGAAACAACTCTCCATGTGTAAACACTTATGTCACCTGCTGAGTTTTAAAAAGTACATTTGAAGAATTTGTCCCCTTTCAAAGCACAGACACTGAGTGCCAGTGCCTGCAGAAAGGAATATTAGTTCTAAAGAGCATACAGGATCTTTGCCCAGGCACAAATTTGGTGCTTTCTTTCTTAAATTTTTTTTGTCTGATTTGCAGCATGCATTGACTTTCTGAGTCAGATGTCTTTGGATGACACAAACAAAAATTTCCCACTTTTCTGAGGGCCCAGATTAAGAAACAAGAAACAAGATTTCTGTGTTTTAGTTTTTTTTTGGTTTTGAGTTATTTTTTTGGGTTTTTTTTGGGTTTGGGTTTTTTGTTTTGTTGTTGTGTTTT